AAGTGCACTGTCCAGGCTATTCAGTTAGTAAACGGTGGACTCAGGATTTGAACACCGTTGTCTGACGTGAACATAGCTTGCCTTGGACTCGCTTCTGAATGACGTCAAAGCCCTGCTTTTTGCACTCTTCCATCCTGCCACATCATTGGTGGGAGTGATGTGTGTCCTAAAATAGAGCTCCATAAAGCAAATACTCTCTCTTCTAGTGGTCTCTGCATTTCAATTGATTTCTTAACCATTTCTAAGTTCTATTTTGTGGCATGTTTTATAAAGCATATAATATATTTGGGCAGTAGTACAATATGATAATTCTAATTAAATAAAATTATTGGTCTATATGTCCATAGTTTGTCTACTGGTTAAGTGTGGCCTCAGAAGAGTCTGAAGAATTCTAAATTATAGTCTATAAAAATTGTGGCTGGGCGCGGTGGCTCAAGCCTGTAATCCCAGCACTTTGGGAGGCCGAAGTGGGTGGATCATGAGGTCAAGAGATCGAGACCATCCTGGTCCATATGGTGAAACCCCATCTCTACTAAAAATACAAAAAAAATTAGCTGGGCATGGTGGCATGTGCCTGTAGTCCCAGCTGCTCGGGAGGCTGAGGCAGGAGAATTGCCTGAACCCAGGAGGCAGAGGTTGCGGTGAGCCGAGATCGCGTCATTGCACTCCAGCCTGGGTAACAAGAGCGAAACTCTGTCTCAAAAAAAAAAAAAAAAAAAAAAAAAATTGTGGCTAATCTCTCCCAATGTGTTGAGTATATCTGTGTTACAGGAATGAATTCTAAACGGGGAGGAGCCACTTTCCCTGACCCCTGTTATACAGTGCTGATACACAGTAAAGGGAGCAATGATGGTAAGAGATCTGCAATGTCAGCCACATGCCAGGCACTGGGTGAATGACACAACTCAGTAAGGTAGTACTAGAGTAGAGGATATTACTTTGGAAGGGTCACATGGCATTCACAAATGCCAGAGCCAGGATTTGCAAGTAAGTCTCACACTAGAGATGCTGTGCCCTTCTGTAAATATGCAGGAGAAATTTCTTTTCTTGTAATTTTTTCTTAAGAGGGGGAAAAAAGGCCTCTGGCTTGATTTTAACCTCATATAATTCTGTACCTTCCCTCAAGGCATTAAAAAAGAAACCTCAAACCAGCTAAGCATTTGACAATTAAGCTCTGCTGTTTCATCTTTGGAGACCCTCCCCGACAGCCTGAAGCCTTCTAGAACTGCTCTTGGATAGCAGGTTGACTAGCTCATACTTACTTGCTTAGTGGCTGTTACAGATTGAATTTTTGTGTCCTTCAAATTCATATGATGAAGCTCTAATTCCCAGTGTCGGTGTATTTGGACACAGGGTCTTTAAGGAGGTCATTAAGGTTAAATGAGGTCATAAGGGTGGGGCCCTGATCCAACATGATTAGTGTCCTTATAAGAACATTATAAGGACACTAATAATTATAAGGTCTCTCTCTCTCTCTCTCTCTCTCTCTCTCTCTCTCTCTCTCTCTCTCTTTCTCCCCCTCTCCGCCCCCCAAGCACCAAAGCAGGAAGAGGTCTTCACCAGAACTGAATTGGCCAACACCTTGATTTGGACTTCTAGCCTCTAGAACTCTGAAGAAATAAATTTCTGTTGTTTAAGCTGTCAAGTCTATGGTATTTTATGGCAGCCTTGAGCCGATTAATAAAGGGGCCAAAAGCTCTTAGTTTTCTGTCATGAAAATAGAGAAAGAAATGTAGATAATTAGGAGAAAAGGCAGGTCATTAGGGAAAAACATGTCAAAGAAAGTTGTAATTAAGGATGTTCTCTTTCTAACCCTTCTCCCCACAGCCTTAGGCTACAAAAGACTGAACTTCCAGTTACAGTTGTTAAATATGCAATTCAGCTTTCTCCGATACATACCTCCAAGAAGAGGTCTTACCCAGGGAACTTATTAAAACCCAACGTTCAGGAAATCTAGCATAGGCAAATGAATAAATAAAAACCTGCAACCCTTGGGATTTTTCAGAAAGGGATTTTTCCCATTTTCTAGAAGTGTACAGAAGCATCCTTTCTAGAAGTGTACAGAAGTGGGAGAAAAGTAAACTCTAAACAGTTGACAACCTCAGGGTATTGTTTTAGAGTACAAGGAAAAAGGTATTTTTTTTTGAAAAGCATTTTAAAACATGCAAACTTCTCGATTCTTCAGTTTGGATACAATTGAAGCCACCATTAATACAAATTCATTATAACTTACAACTTTAGAGATTTGGTCTGAAAACCCTATTATACCTAATTTAGAGGGTAAGAATTCACATATTCTTAAATTCCACCTGGCTTGCCATCTTCTAGGGGCTGGACTGGCACTCTTGGGGCATTCAGGGACAGTTGCTGGCACCCTGTCCATGGGTGTGCAACAGTCCTGCATCTGTGTGGGTGGGCTGTCATGAGAGCTAGCCCACCAGGAGGAGGAGGACAGCAAGCACCTGCTGATTGTTTTTTTTCAAAGCATGGCCAGAGAGTTTAGCAACATAAAGAACATTCTTAGTTGTAGCCTTTTTTTTTTTTTTTTTTTTTTTTTTTTTTAAATCAGATAGGAGCAATCAGGGTGTTGGAAGTCCTGATTACGCAGAGACGTTAATCATGCTTCACGCATCTCCAATCATCATGTTCTATCTGCCCTCCAAAAGAGGAACAGGTAAGGATTATCCCACCTGACGATAGTTGTAGCCTTCTTGTCTTTCTAGAGTAAAAAGCCTTTGAAAATTACACCCCACCCTTATTTTATCTTTAAATAGGAATGGCAAGCTTGACTGCCAAAATTAATCTGAAGTCTTTGCTGAAACTAGTTACACAATCAGCAAGATTGGGAATTCTCTGGTGAAAAAATAAATTAGAAGCTTTCAGCCGGCCATAGTGGCTCAAGCCCATAATCCTAGCACTTTGGGAGGCTGAGGTGGTGGGTGGATTGCTTGAACTCAGGAGTTCAAGACCAGCCTGGGCCATGTGGGAAAACCCCATCTCTACTAAAAATTCAAAAATTAGCCAGGTGTGGTGGTATACATCTATAGTCCCAGCTACTCAGGAAGCTGAAGTGGGGAAGATGACCTGAGCCCAGGGAGGTTGAGGCTACAGTGAGCCGTGATGGCGCCACTGTGCTCTAGCCTGGGTGATGGATTGAGACCCTGTCTCAGGGAAGAAAAAAAAAATATCACATAGGATTTTAGTGGAATACCTACTTAACCCAGCTACGGAATATTTTATATATCGTATGCATATACTTTCTGTCAAAGCTTTTGTCTAGAATGTCCCAGGTAACCAACACAGAGTGAAATGAGGGATTCTGTAAAAAATCTAGGGCACTGAAATGAGAGTAGAAATATACAGTGTCTGTAGCAGATTTTTAACATTCCATTGTTGAAAAACAAATGATATAACGTGTCCCGGCTGGTATCCTACTGTGTAAGACATATAAGAACCATGGAGGACATGCAGCTAGTAAATAGCTCCTCCGAATGATTTCCCTATACTTCAGAAGAAAATTTAATTAGAAAAGCAAAGGGGAAAAACATTACAGCTTAGTCACAGGTAGTCTGAAAGAGGTCTGAACTGGGCTGTTTTATCTACATGCTATAGTACCAGATGAGCAACATGGTGTATGCTTCCCATACACCATGGAAAATTCTTCCCAAGTCAAAGGCATGAATTAATAGGATGCAGAATAGACAGTCTCAATAATTCTTTAACTATGGCTGCCATTTTAGGTTAATACAGAGAGGCTGTCTCGAAAGTGATATCAAGAGCCACTCTGGGTCTTTTTATGGCTACCAAAAAAAAGGCCCCAAACAGACAGATTGTTAACCTCTGACACCCACATCAGTGGATCAGTGTTCTTGCCAGAAGCAAAACTAATACTGACATGTCTAAGCTGCTCTCTTCTAGTGTCTACTAACAAGATCACTCTTGCAGAGCTACCAGAAGTTACACTATTCAATGAAAATACAACTTTAAAAATGACTCCAGACCCATGGTATTGTTTACAAATCACATTCCCAGAGTCTTTTCTGGAAGTCACCATTTCCCAAATTGCTTCCAGCAGTATGCTTTTTATTGTTGGCTATTCCTCTATGGAATTTAATAAATATTCATCAACAGAGCACAGCATAATTCATTCAGCCACTTTCATTTTTATCAGCTCCACAGAAGCCTTAAGACTTTGCTGGAAACCTCTGGGAGTTGCCAGTGGTTGACAATAAGAAGCTTTTGTGAGGTCCTTGGGGAGGGGGTGGAGAAGAGAAAATAAGGTTAACATCTGTTATCATAAGCCACTTCCTGAACCTCATCAGGAGTTATATACCACTGTGAATGTCAACAGTGTGCATGTCTATGGCAATTTGTGATAAACTATTAAAAAACCCAATATATTTTAAAATGATTGGTTAGGAATCAAGTTAATTCACAGTGATTTATCAGACATGAATCATTTAGCATGTCAAATCAATTCTTATGTCCTACTTAATTCTGATTGCATATTTCAGCATTCATTTATTTTCAGATTATCCATCAGCATGGATTATTCAGACTTTGAAAGAAGAAATGATTTTAATGTATTTTTTGAGCCTTTAAAATCACACATGGAACAATATTTCCTAAGTCATACATTTTATAGTTGCTTATAATGATAAATACTATTTTTTCCACACAAGATCTGAGTTCAGCTATTAATTTTATAGTCTTTTGGAAACAAATACACTATCAACACAAAAAACCTTGATATATTTTCAACAAGTTGTTTATGAACCATTAAAACTTTCTTCTAGTTTTCTGAAACACCAGTCAACACCTTTCTGCAGAGAAGTGATACCTGCTGATGAGTTTACAAATATCATGTAAGAAATATACTACTTCTGGCATTCTGATGTTTCTATTTTTCTGGCATGCCTCTATTTGTTCTCTAAATTTATTCTATATTGGCTTTGACCAGATTTTTGGCTTTTTTTTTTTTTTTTTTTTTTCCTACTTACTGGAATGCCTGTGAAAGTGACCGGAGGAGATTGCCAGGAAATGCTGAAGCTGCTGCCATTGGGGGTGAACTTGGCTGATCCTGGAATGGTCACAGGGGGTGTGGCCTGTCAAATAAAAAACAGAGAAAGCTGTTATGAAGAAATATTTTCCTTCAGAGACTTAAGCTCTTAATACCAAAGGAGGACCTCAGAAATGGTCTCAGCTATATTAATAACTTAGACTAATTATCTAACAGGAAGAGATTAAACAAGGTTAAAGGGAGCAGCCAGAAATAAACTTCATATATATACCTAAGCAAGCTATCTAAGGTGTAAAAAGAGATGGTTTTTGACTGCTGATTTCTGAAAAGAAATTTTATTATATATACATATGCCTATTTTGGGATACCTGTGAGATACAGTTCTTCACTATAAAATTGGGAAATAGTGCTATACTGTGAGGATGGGTCTAAACTGGTACAATGTTCTTGGGAGGTAATTTGGCAATATGTATCAAAATTCTTAGAATTCTGGGTGTTAGCTATTCCATGTCTAGGAATTCATTCTAAAGAAATGTACACAAGAATGTTCATTGCACAATTATATATTATAAAAAAGAATTGGGGCTGGGCATGGTGGCTTATGCCTGTAATCCCAGCACTTTGAGAGTCAGGAGGAGGATCGCTTGAGCTCAGAGTTAGAGACCAGTGAGGGCAACACAGTGAGACTCTGACTCTATTAAAAATAAAAAAATTAGCCAGGTTTGGTGTTGTGTGCCTGTAGTTGCAGCTACTTCAGAGACTGAGGCAGGAAGATTATGTGAGCCTGGGAGTTCGAGGTTGCAGTGAACTATGATCATGCCACTGTACTCCAGCCTGGCAACATAATGAAACCTTGTCTCAGAACAAAAACAAACAAACAAAAAACTGGAAACAATACAAATGTCCAGTAATAGGGAAGTAGGTAAATAAATCATGATATACCTACAGAGTCCATTCAAAATGTTGTTAAAATGGCATAAAAACAGACACATAAACAGAATGTGGAACAAAACAGGGAACAAAGAAATAAGTCCACATATTTACAGCCAACTGATTTTTGACCAAGGTGATGAGAACATACACTGGGAAAGGACAACCTCTTCTGGAGGTTGATGTCTGATATTAGAGATGTCCAACATCTCTAATATCAGAAAAATGCTGCTGGAAAAACTGGATATCCACATGCAAACACATGAAACTAGAACCCTAGCTCTTGTCATTTACAAACATCAACTCAAAATGGATTAAAGATGTAAATGTAAGACCCTAAACTATAAAACTACTGGAAGAAAGCACAAGAAAAACACTCCAGAACATTTTTATGGCTAAGACTTCAAAAGCATAGGAAGCAAAACCAAAAATAGACAAATGTGACTATATTAAACTAAAAAGCTTCTGCACAACACAAGAAACAATTAACAGAGTGAAGAGACAACCTATTGAAGGGGAGAAAATATTCACAAACTATTCATCTGACAAGAGACTACTAACAACTCAATAGCAAAACCAAATAAATCCTTTAAAAAGTAGGCAAAGGACCTGAATAAAACTTTTTCAAAAGAAGACATACAAATGGCCAATAGATACATCAAAAAATGCTCAACATCTCTAATATCAGAAAAATGCTTATCAAAACCACAATGAGGTATCATCTCACCCTAGTCAGATTGGCTATTACTAAAACGATGAAAAATAACAGATGCTGGTGAGGAAGCAGAGAAAAGGGATCTTTCATATACTATTGGTGAGAATGTAAATTAATACACCTATTATGGAAAGCAGTATGGAGATTTCCTAAAATCTAAAAACAGAACTACCATATAATCTAGCAATCCCACTACTGGATATTTATCTAAAGGAAAGGCAATCAGTGTACCAAAGGGATACCTGCACTCTCAGTTTACTGTGGCACTATTCACAATAACAAAGACAACATGGAATCAGTCTGAGAGTCCATCAACAGATGAAGTAACAAAATGTGGTAAGGACACAATGGAATACTACTCAGCCATGAAAACCAATGATATCCTATCATTTGCAGCCATATGAACAGAACTAGAAGTCATTATGGTAGGTGAAATAAGCGAGGCACATAAAGACAAATATCACATGTTCAGTCATATGTGGGAACTAGAATAATTGATGTCATGGAGGTAGAGAATAAAATGATAGTTACGGGAGGTGGGGAAGGGTGTGATGGGCCATGGTGGGAAGAGATGTTGGTTAAGTAGGTACAAACATACAGTTAGATAGAAAGAATAAGAACTAATGTTGGATTGCGGAGTAGAGTGACTATAGGTAACAACAATGTATTTTTATATTTCAAAATAGCTAGAAGAGAGGACTGGAAATGTTCCCAACTCAGAGAAATGATAAATGCACAAGGTGATTAATATTCAAAATACCCTGATTTGATTATTACATATCCTATACATATAACAAAATCTTATGTGTGCCCCACAAATATGCATAAATATTAGGCATCAATTTTTATTTTATTTATTTATTTATTTATTTTTGAGACGGAGTTTCACTCTTGTTACCCAGGCTGGAGTGCAATGGCGCGATCTCGGCTCACCGCAACCTCTGCCTCCTGGGTTCAGGCAATTCTCCTGCCTCAGCCTCCCGAGTAGCTGGGATCACAGGCACGCGCCACCATGCCCAGCTAATTTTTTGTATTTTTAGTAGAGACGGGGTTTCACCATGTTGACCAGGATGGTCTCGATCTCTTGACTTCGTGATCCACCCGCCTCGGCCTCCCAAAGTGCTGGGATTACAGGCTTGAGCCACCGCGCCCGGCTGCTAGGCATCAATTTTTAAAATGCTATTGTGGAAGACGAAGATTCACTGGCATGGGAAAATGTTCATGATATATTAAATAGAAAAAATACAGTAAAAACAGTTCTGCAACAGATCCCTTTTAAAAACTATATATAAAAACACAGCACAAAGTCTTAAAGTACATACAAAAACTATTAACCAAAGGGCTCTTGGGTCAATGGAATTAGGAATGAATTTTCTTTCTTTACTGTGTTTAATATTTTCTATGCTGAACATTTATAATTTCTATAAACAGAAAAGTTTCAATATTTGTAAGTTTATGCTTTGGGAAGGACCTTCTAGATCAACTAGTGTGTAGTCCAACTTTCTCATTATATAGATGAGCAAAATGATTTAACTAAGTTGGTTCCCGTGATTTCTGACCTAAGTGCAATGGTGATAAATAAAGATGGATGAATTATTCGTGTTGACCAACATAATAAGAGTCAGGAATGAAATTTATTATGCTAATTCAAACATTAGCTCTATTCCATTACTCTTGAGTTTAAGTCTGCTAAATAAGTGGCTAAATTTTTCCTCTATAGGTGTAATTTTCTGATTACAAATATATTTGCTAGCGGCAATGGCTTTGCAACTGGTACACTGGAAAGCATTTTGGAAATACATAGTAAGAGCCATAAACTGTTCATTCATATTACATCCTCTGACTCAATAATTATTCTTCTGAGAATTTAAAGAAAAAATAAACACTACAGGCACAGAGATGTTTACAGTGGAGTTATTAATGATGAAAAATAGGATAGATTACAAAGTAAATATCTAACAATAAGAATGATTAAAACAATTTGGTGTTTCAATTTAATTGGATATTATTTAGTTAAATGAAAAGTTTTTATAAAACAAGCGTGAGAGAACATAATTACAAGTATGTAAAGGAGATTTAAAAAAGTTCAATAAGGTAGTTGAGAATTATGGGGAAAATATCTCTTTTAAACTTGAATGTATTAACATTGTATAAAAACGAAATCAACATTTTTAAAAGAGTTAATGGCCAGGTAGGGTGTCTCAAGCCTATAATCAGCGCTTCAGGAGGTCAGTGTGGAGGATTGCTTGAGGACAGGAGTTTGAGACCAGCCTGGGCAACATAGTGATAACTCGTCTCTACAAAAAAATTTAATTAGTTGCATGTGGTAGTGCACACCTGTAGTCCCAGGTACTTGGAAGGCCGAGGCGGGAGAATTGCTTAAGCCCAGGAATTGGAGACTGCAGTGAACTGCACTCCAGCCTGAGAGAGTGAGACCCCGTATCAAAAAAACCCACGTAATTTCTGGGGGAAAAAAAGGAGTTTTACCCATGTCCTAAATTTGCAGGCTTTGTCGCTAAGGTCTTGTCAGACTTTAGCACGACTCAGCATTCCCTGGAGGGCCTGTTAAAACAGAACACAGGGTTGGTGGGGCGGGCGGTGGGGGGGACACACAGAAGAGGGTGAGGGGTGGTCCCAAGAATTTACATTTCTAACAAGTTCCCAGGTGATGCTGGCACTGTTGATTTGCAGAATACTGAGAACCACTACTCTAAGATGCTTAATTATCCATTTAGAAGGCAGGGCATGAAGTCCCAGATTTGGAGTATGATTCTGCCATTGTGCCAAAGCTTTCCAATGCTTGCTTGCTTTTTATTTTTTTGAGACAGGGTCTTACTCTGTCACCCAGGCTGGAGTGCAGTGGAGTGCAGTGGTCACAGCTCACTGCAGCTTCAACCCTCCTGGGCTCAGGTGATCCTCCCACCTAAGCCTCCCAAATAGCTGGGACTACAGGGATGTGCCACCTTGCCTGGCTAATTTTTGTATTTTTTTGTAGATATGGGGTCTCACCATGTTTCCCAGGCTGATCTAGAACTGAATTCAAGCGATCCACTTGCCTTGGCCTCCCAAAGCGCTAGGATTACAGGCACAAGCCACTGTGCCTGGCCTTATTTAAAAAAATAATTATGTAATGTGTCAGGCACCATTTTGAGGGTTCTGTAACATTAGGGATTTTTATCATCATAACCGCCTCTATGGGATGGAATCTGCAGGCAGCACTGAACAATCTGAGACTAGACCATAGGACCCCATCTGTGTGAGTTCTTGGCTTTAAAGGGAGAAAAAAAGAAAGAAAGCTACCGGGCTGCTGTGTGTGATGCTGTTTTTCCACTGAGTAATCTTTTACTCATAGGCCAGATGGCCACTGGTTTTGGTCAAGGTCAAAGTGATTGCTCTCACAGTCCCCTGCAAGTCACCTGGTAAGCATGGTCAGTGTGCACGAGGTAGAGGGTGGTGGGAGCTGAGCGGCTCAAGGGCGTCATCAACTTAGTCTCCGTTTTGGCACAAGGAGTTTCTGTTCGGCTTGAGTCTGGGATGGGGAAAGTAGGAGGCGAAGCCAGGGACTGGGAAGGTGAGACTGGGGCCAGGCTGCTCAGCCCGTCTGCCACTGAGTCTGTGTTGAGCTTGATCTCAGTGTAGTAAAAATCCTCTTCTCCATCACTGTAGTCAGAATCCCCAACACGCCTAATGCAAAAGAGAGTAAAACAATCATACTAAGCCAGTCTGTTTTCTTGTCTTGAAATCTTGCACATGCTTTTCCCCTCTGTCTGGAATTCTTTTCTTCCCTCTTGTCTGCCTTGCAAACTCTTGCTTATCCTGCGGCACTCAGTTACCAATGTCTACTTCCAGGGACCCCTTCCTTGATGCCTTAAAGCAATTCATTAATTAATTCATTCACTCATTCAATTATTCATCAATGATTTACTGAAAATCTATGTTCAGGCACCATTCCAGGGTCTCCTGATAATACATACATATATATATATATATATATATATATATATATATATATTATATTAAATATGAAAATATAGACTCTGCCCTGATAGAACTTATAATGGGAACTTATAGGCAGACAAGAAACCCATAAATAAATAGATATTTAATAAGTGGGAGCTAAATAATGTATATCCATGGACATAGAAAGTGAAATAATAGACATTAGAGACTTCAAAAGGGGGAGAGCGGGAGGGAGGCAGAGATGAGAAATGACCTACGGGGCACCATGTTGACTATTTGGGTGCTGGTTAGACTAGAAGCCCAGACTTCACCCCTGTGGTGCAAAATAGCCAGGTAACAAAACCGCACGTGTACCCTTCAATCTATGAAAATAAAAAGAGATGAAAAAATTTAAAAAAAATTAAAAAAAGAAATAGATATTTAATATATCTGGTGTTACTAAGTCCTAGAAAGAAAAACTCAGCAGTGTAACAGTTGTTAAGCAGGATCAGTGATGGTGAGTGCTATTTTAAATAGAGTGGCCAGAGGAAGCCTCTCTGAGAAGGCGCTGTCTGAGCAGAGACCTGCCTGGATGAAGCTGGGGAGAGACCATGGTGGCACCCGTGGGGAGGATACACCAGGGAGGAGTGACACAGAGCCCTCAGGTAGGCAGGCCTGGCAGAGAGGCCAGAGGCTAGAGCTTGGGACACCAGAGAGTGACGGGCAGAGTCAGAACAGGGCAGAGGCAAGGTCATCCAGGGCCTGTGACCCACGGCGATGGCTTTGGCTTGCATTTGAATGTGGTGGAAGCCACCGGGGGTTTTCAGAACTCTAACTTAATTTAAAAAGGATCACTCTGTATACTGTCTGGGAAATAGAAGACAGACAAGAGCAAAGGCAGAGCCACTGAGGAGCTGCGGTCAGCAATATTCCAGAGGAGCAGGGCAGGCCAGCGGTGCAAAGGCCGAGACATTAAGTCCCAGGTGTATTCTAAAGGTTAGGAGTTAGGACTTCACTCCTGTTAGTGCTCTGTGCTTCCTCTGAAGTGTGTTTACTCATTCCTTTTGTTAATCACTGGGTACCTGTCTGCATTTTTTTAAACCTCTTTGTCGCCTCACTATGACTGATTCTCTAGGGATGTGTTTTGTTCATCCTGTGTCACTCCACACATATCGGTGTATTTGGCAGAGGGTAGGTACCTAGTAAATGTTGCCTGAATGAATGAGCGAATGAGTGAATGAATGGAGCTGAGGTGGTTGCAGCACAGTGATAAAGAGAATGGATTTTTGAGTTAGACTTCCTAGGTTCAAACCCTGACTCCTACACATTCTAGTTGTGTGCATGATTTTGGCAGCCTACATGTAGCCCCTGTTCCTCAGTTTCCCCACTTATAAAATGGGGATAATTAATTATAGTACTTGATTATTGTGATGATTAAGCTAATAAATACAGGGTGCTTAAAAGAGGAACTGACACAATATAAACACTATGTAAAGTGCCTATTAAACAAAAACAAAACTGTGTTAGAAGGTCTCAATTTTCACCATCACCAGGAGAAGTAGCTTCTTAGGTGTTCTCACAGTTCCTCTCCCTGAAACATAGAACATTGTACTTTTCCACAGAAAGTTTTGGAGTAAAATAAAATAACTCTCCATAATGTCAGAAAACGTGTATTTGATGATTCGTGAGTTTATAGAGAAGTTGTGCTTCTTGTCTCTAGAAACCTGGTTTTCTGGGATGGCTGGGCAGAGAGCGGGTATCCCCTCATTGCCACAGCAGATCACTGACTCAGAACATACCTTTTCCCTACTAATGAGCTCTGCAGAGAACCTAACATAAAAATCTACACCTCACCTCTTCCCAGGTCTGTTTGTTCAAATCAGTGGCTTGTCCCAGACCAGCTCCATTTCCCCTGAGCTCCCAGGTTGAGGTGCCTCAGGAGGTGTCTTTGCACTGTATCAGGTCTGTCTGGGCTTGGCCATGTGACCAGCATCCCATTAAAGACCCCAGAGAGTGGGAAGAAGAACGAGTGTCTGTTCTATTCCTGTCCCCACTTCCTTTCCAGTTAAAGGCAGGCTGAGTTGCTGCTGGCTGCCAAGTGCTCCTAATAGACACACAGGCCTGGGGCACATTGTGTGTCCCACGTGGGGATAAATCAGGACCAGCCCCTGGTGTAGAAGAATGGAGTGAGACTGAAGAGAAAAGTGGTGTGCTTTTTATACAGGCATGGTGTGCACTGCAGATACATCAGAGGCGAGGGCCTATTTTCTTCCAGCTCAGACATGTTTCCCTCCTCATCTCCTCACCAGCCAATACTCATTAAAAATGCCCCATCACCCTACAGCCACATCATTGAGCTCATGGATTAAGGCAAAGGTGTGTTCTCTCCCCTAGTGCATGACAGAGCACAGGCCCCAGGCTTCATAAACATAGATTGGCCTTGGAGTCCTGCTAACGCAGGCCCATTCCTGTTTGGTGCCTGGCAGGCTGTCAACCATAATTCACCAGGGAAATTCTAAAAGCACATTAGGAAAAAGGGGATCCTAGAAAAGCGAATAAAGTGGCTGCATTTTGGAATTCACCCACTGTGAGAGCACCCCAGGAGCTCACAGGACTACTGTGATACCACTTCCAGGGTCTATAAATACAGATATTCAGCATGTGCTTCTGATGGGGCTGAATAGGACTCATTTTCTGGGAAGACAGACTTTAAAACAAATACCCTACCTCCTGCCTCTAGCTTTGAGAAGTTCTTTCTAAACCTTTAAGAAACTGAGCTGCTTACATTGTGAATTGTCTTGACAATGAGATTTCAGGGGAGACACTGCAGGATTTCCTTCCCTGAAGGCGTGAGGACCAGAAGGAGGGTGTTTTGCCCTCAGGTATTTCGATTGGTATTTCTTAGACATAAGGTAGACTCTGGCCAGAGAAGCTTTGCTGGACCATCTCCCCAGTGCCTGGTGACCTATGGGTAATATGCTTTGGAAGGCTCTGGTGTGTCCCCACACATCGGCCTGGATGATTAGAGAGCCGGATCCCTGTTTCTCTCCATGGTCACTGTGTAGCCACCCTCGTAGATTAGCAACATCACCTTAGAAGTTATTTTTACCTTCTGCGTATACCACTCGTTGGGCATGATGCATATTCTTTTTGTTTGTTTTCTGAGATGGAGTTTTGTTCCTGTTGCCCAGGCTGGAGTGCAATGGTGTGATCTCTGCTCACTGCAACCTCTGCCTCCCAGGTTCAAGTGATTCTCCAGCCTCGGCCTCCCAAGTAACTGGGACTACAGGCCTGTACCACCACGCTCGGCTAATTTTGTATTTTTTAGTACAGATGGGGTTTCTCTATGTTGGTCAGGTTGATCTTGAACTCCTGACCTCAGGTGATCTGCCCGCCTCGGCCTCCCAAAGTGCTGAGATTGCAGGCGTAAGCCACCGCGCCCAGCCTGCATGATGCATTTTCTAAATGTATCCCTTGCTGGGTAAAGTGACTGTTGCACTTATTTCTCTGCATTTATCTTGTGGAAAGGACTCATCTGTGTCCAAGCACATGGGAGCCTGGAGGTGCATTTGTGCTTGCCTTATGAACACTGGTTGTGACTTACAGCCTCTCAACGTCCCTTCTAAATCCCAGATCCCTGGACAAGATAGGGAAAAAGCACAAGACTGAAGGAATACCACTGCCCCCTGGGGTGACCTGTAACTGCTATGGCTCCTAAACCTTCATTTTATTTTTGCTTTAGAAGGTGGTTATATAATATGAGGAAAAGTATAGATTTTACAAAGGACTTATTTGAGCAATAGAAAGCGATTGAGCCAGATGGTCAGGCATCATAAGAATAGGAACAGTAGCATCGATTGGTGTGATGATTCTTGAATCCTTTTTAGGCTATATATGCTTAAAGTCATGAATCCTCTCCACTGGAAAATAAATGACTCCACAGGTAATTTCAGTGGGTTCAAGGACCCCTTGAAGTCCAATCACAGATTGCAGGTTACCCTAGTGTTTTATACTTTACAGTTCTCTCGCACATACACTTTATCTTTGGCGCTCACACTTCACCCTAAAGAGCTGCCATTATTATATATTTCTATAGGGAACTGGGGCTCAGGGTAGCAGCTTGCCTAAAGTGACTCAGTAAGTGAACCAATTTGTTAAATCCTTGTTCTTTCCACTGTGCCATACTGGCTTAGATCATCTGGAGTGGCCATCTCTCCAGAGATTAGGAAGACAAAGCCAGCCCAGCGTCCAGAACCTTTAAGGCACAGTGTGGTGTGCAATTTCTGAGTGTGGGTAGCCCTAGACTGAGCAGATAGAGGCCACATCCCTAAAGTGAGGGCTGCCTTACCCCAGATGGATGGTCCGGATGTGTTTCTGGATACCTGCCGCGGTGCTCAGCACCTTCCCACAGTTTTTCCAGAGGCATTTGAACATCACCTTCATGGAATTCTGTAAAGGGGAGAGAGAGAGAGTAATAGTAAAATGGAAACTATTTTCTAACAACATTTTCTGTCATCCCAATACGTATTTTTTCCTTCATTAGAAAAGTAATAGAATCCCCAGCCTCTTAACTATAACTCAACACACGGTTGTAGGTACCCCTAGGTTTGTGAGTATCTTGGTGACCTCAGTTATTTCCTCATATCCTTCATGAGAAATGAGCTCTGCTGGAATATTTCAGATCATGTTCACGAAGGCAGTTACAGGGCCATTTCGGCTGTCAAAGCAGTGGATAACGTTCACTGAGCACTTACTATGTGCCAGGTGTGGTCTTAAGTGTTTTATCACTTTTAATCCTAAAAGACAGATACTAATATTAATCTCCATTTTACAGATGCATAAAAAGCTCCAGTAGAAAGTATCTGGTCAATGAACCAGCTACCGGCAAAGTTGAAAAACGAATCCAGGGTCTCTGGCTCCAGAAAGCATCCTCTCACCAGTACACAATTCAGCCTTCTTCAACAAGGGTATCGGTATTTTCTTTTTCTTTTTTTTGAGATGGGGTCCCACTCTGTCACTCAGGCTGAAGTGCAGTGGCACAACTGTGGCTCACTGCAGCCTCCGTCTCTCCTGGGCTCAAGCGATCCTCCCACCTCAGCCTCCCAAGTAGTTGGGACAACAGGTACATGCCACCATGCCCAGCTAATTTTTTGTATTTTTGGTAAAGACAGAGTTTTTCCATGTTGCTCAGGCTGGGGCAGTATTTTCCAAAACAGTTCAATGCCATGATTGAGAGCACTGACTTTGGGCTTGTTTCACAAGTTCTCAGTGCTCTTATTTATAAAGTAGGAATAATAATAGTACCTGTCTCACAGCATTATTATGAGGATTAAATGACATTATGGAAGTGAATCAGTTAACAGAATGCTGACAGGAATAATCATTCAACCAACAGCAGCTATTGCTGGATTATTAGGATTATGCTTCCTAGAGTAAATTTTATAGAAAGTGAGTTTTCTCCAGGGAGGTCCCTTGCATTGGGATACCACCTCTTTGCTGACTGTTCTCTTGGGTATGGTGACAGCCACTTCCATGTGTTCGCCAAGCCCCATTTCCTTTTCCTGCTGGGTACACAGCTAGACCTTGTTTCCCAGCCTCCCTTGCAGTCAAGTGGCATCATGTTACTGAATTAGGGCTGATGGAAGAGAAGCGACTCACATTCCTTCTAAGCCTTTCTCATAAACTGCTTCCCAGTGTCACCCCAGCCTGCTCTGATGATTAGATGCAAAGGGCACAGAGGTTAATTAGGGGCAGCAAAACCACTAGATCAGAGTTCTTGATTTTTTGTTTGCCATGAACCCTTTTGGCAGTCTGTGAAACCTATGAATCTTTCTCAGAATAGTGTTTTTTAATGTTTAGAACAAAATACATAAAATGATAAAGACAGCTAGAAAAAAACATTAAATATTTTTTAACCCCATTAAAAAGTGGTCAAAGGACATGAACAGACACTTCTCAAAGAAGACATACAAGTGGCCAAAAAAACAAAAAAGGAAAAAATGCTCAGTATCACTAATCATCAGAGAAATGCAAATCAAAACCACAATGAGATACCATCTCACACCAGTCAGAATGGCTATCATCAAAAAGTCAAAAATAATGGATGCAGGAAATGAGATATACCCTGTTGATGGGAGTGTAAATTAGTTCAGCAATTGTGGAAGACAGTCTGGAGATTTCTCAAAGAACTAAAAATAGAACTACCATTTGACCCAGCAATCCCATTACTGGGTATATACCCAAAGGAAAATAAATCATTCTACCAAAAAGACCCATCACTTGCATGCTCATCACAGCATTATTCACAGTAGCAAAGACATGGAATTGACCTAGGTGTCAGTGGAATGAACAGATAAAATGTGTTACACATATATCATAGAGTACTGCATAGCCAAGAAAAATAATGAAATTATGTCCTTTGCAGCAAAATGGATGCAGCTAGAGGCCATTATCCTAGGTAAATTAATGTGGAAACAGAAAAGGAAATACTTCGTGTTCTCTCTTATAAGTGGGAATTAAACAATGGGTACACATGGACATAAAGATGGAAATAACAGCCATTAGGGACTACTAGAGGAGGGAAGTAGGGAGGGGGTAAGTGTTGAAAAACGATCTATTGGGTATTGTGTTCACTACCTGGGTGATAGGCTCAGTTGTATCCCAAACCCCAGCATCACCCAATATACCCATGTAACAAACCTGCACATGTACCCCCTGAATCTAAAGTAACAGTTGAATTTAAAAAGTGTTTTGCAATATGGCAATATATGCACTCTCTAATTAATGCAGTAAATAATAAGACCTTGAAGTGGGCCTAATAACTACCACAATTTTAAAGTAGTGTTATTAATAAATGATATTTCATGATATCTACTAAAATTGTAATGTGATATGAAACATCTGATTTTGATTGGTATTAAAGTCACAGGTGGTGCTAACATTATGGCTTGATGCCTTAAATAATTACGGGAAATGTTAAATTACAGTTAAAAGGTTGGTGAAAACAAAGATACACTTTTTCCCCCATGCAGGTTCACTGACCTCTTGGATTCTGTGAACCCCTTTGGGGACCTGTGGATTCCAGGTTAAGAACCCCTGCACTAGAAGGAAGAAGCCTGGATCCCCAGAGGCCTGTCTGGAGCAAAGAAATCCACCCCCTTCAGAACCCCCACTGACCTGACGGGACTGTGACATGAGAATAAACAAACCTTTATTGTGTTAAGCTACTGACGTGAGAAAAATGAATTGTTCCAACAGTAAGCCCACCCCGACAACACATACAGCAGTGGCAACATCTTCTCTGAACTGATGGAACTGATGTAGCTTGATTTGTGTGTCTGCTAGAAGATATGCCATCAAGTACTTGTGGTTCACACCATCATACTCTTGGTTCTATGAAACAATCATTCACACATTTAGAAGACAACTCACCTCTATTACTGATGGGATCAGTATCCAGATGATTTATCTGGACACCTCATGCTGAAGATTTTCCATTGGTTTCTGAATTGAACATGGCACTTGGGAGCTTCCAGAATTGAAGAGTGTCCTTGTGTTGGTGAATGGTTACCTTAAGCATGGCAAGCAGAGGACAAAGTATGGCAGCACATTGCTGCAGTCTGCTAGAGCAGATTACTGACCATGTTCACATGGGCTTTGTGAGCCCAGTGGCCTGCTGTGCGCCAGAGTTTCTACCTGGGTGGCCAGCATTCACATCATAGCAACCTAGCTGTTTTTTCTGCAGCTCCTGGGCACACACACCCAGCTCTGTGATGTTCTCCCTGCAGTGTGCAGTACTAGGCATAGGACCCAGAGCTACATGGAGCTAGGGCTGAAGCTCTTTGAGGGGTGTGAAGAAACGGAGAAGCAAATGAATCATTAGGAGACTTTAAGTACATAATCCTCATGAGTCTGTGTTTATTCCAAGGAGACAGTTCACAAACTTCAGCTTCCCTGACCTCCCTGGGCCAGTGATCTAAACATATGAAGTATAAGATGCAACAAAGGGGGCAGTTTAAATCCCACCTCCAAACCTGCTAGGTTCACAAGAAGGAATTCTGTAGAATTCAAAATATCATTTTACTTAAAGCATATAACTTAACAGTATTGTCTTAGTCCATTTTGTGTTGCCATAAAAGAATACCTGATGCTGGTTATAAAGAAAAGAGGGTGATTTAGTTCATGGTTCTGCAGGCTGCATATGAAGCACGGCGCCAACACCTGCTCAGGTTCTGGTGGGAGTTTTTGTGTTGGGTTAAATCACAGTGGAGGTCAAAGGTGATGGAGGAGCAACAACCCATTCTCCTGGGAACTAATCCATTCTCTCAAAATCCAATCCAGTCTCAGGATAGTGAGAACTCTAGCCATTCTGAGAATGGCACCATGCCATTCAAGAGTGATCTGCCCCCATGACCCAAATACCTCCCACGAGGATCCACCTCCCAACACCCCTACCAGGGATCAAATTCCAATATGAAATTTTGGTGAAGGTAAATGAACCATATCAAACTATGGCAAATATTAATGAACAACTGCTCACATTCTGGATGCTTTCTGTCCATTTTCAAATGATGAAGCTATACTGGAAGAAATATCTTCCACTTAAGAGAACCAGTGACTCAAGCAAAAATACAGGTACCAGATAGTCCAAGTATCTGTCTGGAAATGAAGTCATGATAGATGAAAACACTTTTTGATTCATTCCTAACTTTTTGCTGATGGCATTCTTTCATTCGTTAAACTCAGTATCTAGTTAGCAAGGAATATTTTAGGTGCTGGGGATAGAGAATAAAAAAAGAAACAAGGTTTCTTTCAAAGTGAAATTCTAGTAGGGGAGAGACATAAATTATAATACGTGATGACAATTTCAGATATAGCATGAGGCCTGTAGAAAGTGACTTCTGAGCCAGAACCTGAAGGTTGGAGACGGAGTCAGCCAACTAACATTTAGCATTTCCCAGGCATAGTGAATGCAGTTAAATGCAGAGGCCTGAAGATAAGAAAGAGCTTGGCTGTTGGAGGCCAGAAAGAATGACAGTGTGTTTAGAGTGAAATGTGGGAGGGAGTGATTTGAGATAAGGTAGAGAAGCAGGGTCAGATCACGTGAGACTCTGCAGATAAAGGTAAGGAATTTGGATTTCCTTCTAAAATAAAAGAAGTTACTGAAGGAAGACAGTGATACTACATGACTTAATTTTTTTTTTTTTTTTTTTTTTTAATATTACTGTTTTGGGATAAAAAGCAAATGAAGTCACCAGCCTGGAGTCACTGCATGAAGTCATTGCAGGTGAGAGGAAATGGTGGCTTAGAGGGTTTGGGCAGAGAGGATGGAGGAAAAAAGACACATTCAAGATATTCTGGAGACAGATCCAATACTACTTGCTGTTGTGTTGAATGTGAGGAAGGATAAAAGAGATGGTGTTAAAGATGGCTTCCATGTTTTAGGTTTG